AACGCTCTATAGTCACCGCAAGGCCTCCAAGCTTCTTCGCCCTTCTTCGGAACCATATGAAGGGGTGCTGACCACGCGCTCTTCGAAGGACAAGCGATGCCCATCTTCACCATCGCGTCGAACTCCTTCTGGGCAGCCCTGAGCCGGTCCGGTGCAAGCCGCCGCGGCTTGCTGGAAACGGGTGGTCCAGGGGTTGTCTCGATGTAATGCACCGTTTGGTGCGTAGTCCTCATCGGGGTGCCGCTAGGCCGTGTAAGTTCCGGCATCTGCATCAGGAGCTGGTGGTAAACGGTAGTCCCTGCTACTGTCTTCACCGACGGCGTTTCATCCTCGGCTCGTGTTCCGCGGACCGTTAACGACGTGGTCCGATCGACGAGGCGACGATTGCGGATGTCCACCATAAGATCGAAGTGATCGAGAAAGTCTACCCCGATTATGGGTTTTGTAACATCCGCAACCACGAATCGCCACACGAAATCCCGTCGTAGGCCGAGGTGCAGGTTTAACGACACTGTCCCGTAGGTGTTAATTACACTCCCATTCGCCGCCGCCAGCTGGTACTCCGATCTTTCTCGCAATCCGCCTAGCAGGCGGCGCGGAAAAACGCACAAATCGGCCCCGGTATCCACTAAAAATTCCGTCTTCGAGCTGTTGTCTAAGATGAAGAGGCGGCGTGATGCTGGATTTGTGTCGCTGGCCGCCATCAACGACTCCCCAGGTCGTTTCCCTGATCCGTGGCGTTCCAATTGCACGGTGCAACGCACCTCTGCGCGGCCGGACCGAACCGCCAATGGTACCAGCATTTCCCTTGATGGTCCATTTGTCCTCCCGCGGGCCGCTCTCGCGATCGCGATAGAGATCGTCTGCGGTAGCGCGAGTTTGGATGATTTCGGTGGGTCCACCTGCGACGGGAAGATTGCCCCTGGTCCACCAAGGATTCACGGATGGCAGAAATTTCCTGCCTCAAGGAAAGAGCCAATTGCGACATCTTAATGTTTAACATGGCCTCGATGCTCGGGCCCGGCGGGGGTATTTGGCAGGATGCAGATACGCCCGTAGTCGCGGCCTCCGTGACGTGTACCCGCGGTGTCATCGTATCCGCGACAGCGTCTGCCAACTCTGCTACCTTATCCAGCGGGGTGTCCCGCTGCGTGGATAAAATCACCTGCATATTAGCAGGTAGCCGGCCCATCCAAAGCGTCCGCAATACACCGTCCGAAAAAGCCGTACCGGCCAATCCGCGCAGGTGACGAAGAAATTGGGACGGTTTTCTGTCCCCGATTTCCTCGTGTTCCAATAACCGTCGCGTTTTCTGTTCCTGCGAAGCACTAAGCCGGCGAATAAACTCATTTTTGAGCGTCGTGTACGGATCCGTGGCCGGAGGATTCATGATAATGTCTCTTACTTCCGCGGCGTGTCGCGCACTTAACGCGCCGAGAATGTACCCGAATTTCGTGGTCTCCGACGTTACATTGGATACCTCAAAACTTCTCTCTACCATCGAAAACCACATCTCCGGGTCTCCCGGACAAAACTCGGGTATTCGTACAGCGACGCGATCAACTGCCAACGGCACACTCCCGGATGTCCCGCGTTAACGGTAGGGTCAGTCATTTTACCAGTCTTAGTCACAAAAAAAAATAGTTTCACCGCACACACACACCGCGCTTACTATTTGTCAGACCGTGTCCTTTTCTTATGTCCTTAACACTATACACTTATTTCTCTACACTAACTAATATTGTCCGTATACGAAAAATGTCCAAATTTTCTTAAAAAAACTTTACTTGCGCGGCGAGATCACGTCGGGGTCACCAATGTGGGATCGGGAAGATAATGACTCCGCTCTGTTCCGTTCCGCACAATTTTATTGTTGCTGTCGTACAACGACGTGACTCGTGGTGCGGGTTACGCTCGACTCACTGGTACGATCATCGCCACCGTACCAAGAGGCCTTCAAAAACAAAAGACGGTCAGAGACGACGACAACGGCTTTTCGGCTCACGCGGCTCTGGTCGTCTCGTGTGCAACCATCGTCTCGTGTGCAACCATACATTGTAGCGGCTTCGAACGGCTAAGGCGTATGTGGTGCCTTGGCCGCCACAGTTTCATCGACAAATGAAGTTTTCGTATGATTCCATAGCTACGGTCTGAATAAGTTTCCAAACGCCGCGACACTTTTCGTCACCCTCTCGACCTCGTAGTGTCTGGTGTAATCGTATTTACGTATTGTGGGAGTCATGACTTATTGACGTTATTGGTGTGTGTTAACGTAACAGCAGCCCCATGATATGTGTAGTGTGCACGAGATTGTCTCCAATCTCCGATCTCACACAGGAAGCCGAGACATCGCACTCCTCTCTCCACCGCCATCCCTTCCCCCCCCCCTCCCCTATCGTTTCTCGTCCCGTCTTCCTCCACGCCTGAATGCATGTTCCGTTGCATAATTTAGTGACCACTTCCGGCTTATAATAGTTTACTGTCGAAGTCCGCACAGAGGGCCAGGTAAGGGTTGCACGCGTAAATGAATAGGACGGGGGGAAAGGTTCTTTGTTATTCGAATGCAGCCCGCCTTTGTTGCATAATTTAGAGACGATTAGTTTATACCGATCTCCGTTACAATGGTAACGCGGTTCTATTCCGGCACGGAGACAGTTCTCGAGGTGAAAGGTAGGTGAAGGGTTGCATGCTCGATGAGTTGGAAAGCTCTCTATTATTGGCTTGACCGTCGTCCTAATCGTGACCTGAAACGAAGAATCCTTTCGGCGATATGAATTTTTCGGTTCGACCGGGCTATTGAACGCGCGGAGAATATTTAGAACGTTCGCCGGCGTCACGTAAGAGCCCCGACCAGCCAGAGCGTTTTAGAAATTCACGCCCGCGAGCCACACGACCAAAGAAATTCTACGAAAACGGAATTAATTCGTATTTAAATGATAACGTTTCTTTTGTTTAGTTCGTTTTGAAAACATAAGGTTGGCCTCCATTGTACTTGGCCGCCATTGTTGCCAGAAGGATATCTGCGGAACTTAAACACGTGTTTTTCAGGTTAGTTTCACGAGCAAGGTAAATAGAACTCTGGAAACTAAAATTAAAATCAGATTTGATTACTTTGTACAAATATTACTTAATGTTTTTACGTTCAAGTTTTATTTTATTTTCTTTGTTTTGCTCTCGTTAATTTTGAATATATTACCTTGGAGGCCAGAAAAGTATCTGTGAACCCCAAACACGTGTTTTTAGGTTAGTTTTAACGACCAGGGTAAACATAACCCTAGGAAAGTAAAAGTAAAACGTTTTAAATAAATTTAATTTTTATTAGCAACAATTATATAAAATAACGAGGATATTAAAGTATTCTTTTACGTTTGGGACCGCCCCATGTTTGCAATTTTAATTCCATCTTGTATTAAATCGAATCAACATTGAACGCAATTTTTCGAATATATCGCCGGAAAATATCGTTCGTAGGGATTTTTAAGCTAGATATTCAAAGAGAAATATTCAATAAAGAGTATTGTTACAGGGGAACGGAAAAACAGACAATGGAAGCGCGTTACGGGTTCTTTTGCCGTTTGTTAGGAATTTTTTTTCAAATCGTTCGAACGCGATAAATTTCTTTCCCGCCGGCGAACTTTCGGTACGGATTAGAACGAAAACGAAAAAAATATTTGGAAAATACTTGAAAGGAGATCGTTCTGAAGTTTAATTAAAAAGTTTGAAAGGGTCGTCATCGACCGGCGCGTAACGTTCGATGGTTTACGTCTCGCGAAGAAAACCGAAAGCAATCAAAAGGATTCTTCGTTTCAATTTTTATACACGGTAGCAACCCCTTTAAGTGCTGTGTCCTTCCCTGTTGTATTATTCAACCATCCCCCTCGACTTTGTAACAAATGATCAGCGGAAAGTCAATATCCTTTGCTCCGGGGGTACAATTGAACGTTGATTATATTATGGAACAGTAAAACGGCGAAAATTCAATTTGCCTTCGACTTTGTGATTTTTCCTCGAGACGTCTCGATTTTAATAGTCTGCTCCTGCGATGCATTATTGAGAAGCTATCCTGGGGAATTTCACAAGTCGAGAAGTAAGAATAACGTCAGAAAATTACGACTTTCCAGAAGCTGTCAAAATTTCACGTTCCTCATATCCCCACTCTTAACCCTTTCTTGAACTATAGGGGTGAACGGTACAGTTGTTCGCCAACGTTGGTCCTATTTCAAAATTGAAAGGAATTCTACTGTTCTCGTCACATTTTAGGAACTGTTCATGTTGATTTTATTTTCAAACTGGCTAAAAAATATTTCTTAATGTTTAAATTTTACTTTACTTTGCTCTCGTTCAATTTGAACACGCAATAATGGTCTCTGCTATGCTTCGACGCCATTATTGGATGGCAGAAAGATATTTGTGAAACCCAAACACGTATTTTTAAGTTTCACGGGCAGAGTAAATGCAACTCTAGAAAATGAAATTAAAACCAGATTTGAGTATCTGGAAGAAACATTCCTTACTAAATTAAAATTAACATTTAAGTAACTCTCTTCCTCGATACGTTGACTGTCACGTGGCTTACATATGGGCCATTGACGAGTTTAAAAACTAATTCTCAACATCGCATGTTAAAGAAAATGAATGTTAGAAGAAAAACGCGGCGTTGACTGCCGCGTGACTCATATATGGGGCACACGATTTTTCCAACCGAGGAAAAAATATTAATTCTCAAGATCGCGTATATCTAGATAGGACAAACACGTGTTTTTAGGTTAGTTTTGCGTTGTTTAACGTGTGACCCATATATGGGGCACGCGATTTTTTCACTGAGAAGCCGAAGAAATTAATTCCAAAGATGTTAGAGACGATAGATTTTCGATGAAACGAAATTCGTGGGGTTTGGTGGTTCGATACTGTACCGTTCAGCCATAGTTCGATCTCCCGGGGCCCAGCACTGAAAAACAGAGACCGCCATAAGAGTCTAGCAACGAAAGTTGATTGCGCAGTCCGGACGGTGGGCCACCGAGTCCCGCGACGTCCTCGCACTCGGCCCAACTTCCGATGCACTCGACGGCCGCGCCGCGATGGCCGCTGAAGCCTGGCGTGCTGGTGCACATAAACCGGAGCCATAGCCTTCGATCGGGCCTCAGCGTTCGCGGCGGCGGCGAGACGCTACGAAACGAGCTGATGGCCAGGCGTCGCGACGAGCCGATGGCCGATCGATTCCTCATGGAGGCGACGATCGTCAAAGTCCCGGCTAAAGTGTTCCGTAGGAGAAAGGAGAACGCTAGGAGGAGCCTGACCGTGTCTAGTCTGCACGACGACGGCATGATTGCCAGGGCTAATAAAATTAAAGCCATGTTTGGCGTGCAGCTTAAAGAGCAGGCCACTTTGCCCGGTATTTCCAGAGAGAAGACAGGTGAGTCCGCGTCTATGGGGAGGGGTGGTGAAGACCCTTTAACGCTGGCGGACACGATACACGATTATTCGCGGCTCGAGTCTTTCATTTTGCGCCCGTGGCGCCGCCAAAGGGCGCGGGAAATTCGAATTAAGCGCGAGACGATCTCGTTAACTCCACTTTTTAATATCTAATCCGCTCTTATTTTCGAAAATTCGAACCGTAATCGTTTACGGAAATTTTTGCAGCTTACCCGCAAGCCAACTGGGAAAATTAACAATACTTATTTGCATTTATTTTCTATTTAATTTCAGAAAATGTAGAAATTCTCGTAGTTAATTTTTCTTCCATGGAAAATACATATTATGGAACAAAAAAAAAAAGAAAATTCTGTAGCCGATTATTTAGATTTCGAATAATCATTGAAACGAAATTTCGACCCGTGGAAATTATCCGAAGTCCATTGCATTAAAAACAACAGAGGTCGGTTGGAATTTCGAAATGTTCATCGGAAGTGCATATATTGAATACTTGATAAGCGCAAGCGCGTCGAAGATATCCGGTGCTCGTTCGGGCGAAAAATTGTATAATTTTCGCGTATCTGTTCGCCGACGTTAAAAACAGTTGGCTTGATCCTCTGTAATAAATTGCTATTAAATCCCCCAGCGATGCTTTTTAAATTACAATACCCGTTTGAAACGCGCAATGCCGAATACTTAATCGCAGTCGATGCTCGGGGTCTTTTGAAATGTATCGAGCAATCGTACCGTAATTACAGAATTTACGCAAATCGAAAGGATTTCCTGTATGGGATAGCATATAACAGGATATTATATGCATTGATTAATGTACAATATTCTCTCGAATTCTTCCGGCGTTAATCGAATTTAATTTTATTCGTCGATTACGCATTTTGGAGGTTTTAATGCCGTGCGTACCGTTTAATTGCTTCTGTGCGATTTAATGGCTCGCCAATGTAGCGAATTACAGAATGAGCACAGTCTCGTGAACAAATGCAAAGATCGCGCGATTATCTAATTCGTTGCGCGAAAGAAATATCGCACGAACGTTAGAGCCTTCGAAAATCAATGAACATTCCCGTTCCCCGCTTCATACGATTTCAATTAAGCTGATTTCGAACTAAAATCGTATTATTTCGTTTCCAATGCTCGATTTAAATTTATAATGCGACCGCCGTAATGTTAAAATAATGTTTTCACGGGTACGGAAATATTTGCTTTACGTTGTCACGGTTCCGCGTTGTTATTTATTATCCTGTAACTCGTTATTCCCATCTCCATATTTTTCCGTTCATTAATTTCAAATTTACCTCGTCCCGCGTCGTCCACCAAATTACTTTCGTTCGAAATTTTTGGCTCGACGATATATACATCGGCGTTCGACAAATTTTATCTGAAAACAAACATTTCCCCCACCACTGTACTTTAAACTATTCGAAAAACTCTTTCCAATACAAATTTTAAGAAATCAACGAATCGAAATTTGAAGAAGAAAAAAACTGGATTTTATACAGAAACAAAAGTTTTCCCTCGAATTGAACTATTTCAAAAACTCTATCAGAAAACAGTATTTTAAATATCTCTCTAATAAAAATTCAAAATTTTACAAAGTGGTCTACGGAGTATCATCGAGCCAGAAAAGGAGAATAGTTTCCTCGATCGTTTTGGGGAAATTTTGACGAGTTGGGAGGAATACGATTTACGCATATTTTCGCGGGATTTTCCACGTGAAAACGAATCAATTCTGACGGGTTGATAGGTCTCACGTAACAGCATGCGAAAGAAATGAAAACATGACCCCGTGTCATTGCTTTTTCGTTTTGTGTTTTTGTGTTTCCCTTAGCTGTGACTTACAAAAGAATAGCGCCACGGCAGCGGATATTGCATGCGGAATCATCGTGCGAATCGAATCGCGGCAACGTTTCCCGTAAGCGGAAAAAACCTGGGGCAGGTACGTAACAAGAATTTACAAACGCGAGAGCATGCGCCGATTAAGCGGGGAATTTTCTTCCCCGCGTCGTTCGTTTTCGACGTGTGTGGTCGACGGACGAGCGATTTTTCACGCGGGATATTTGCACGTACAGGATCACGACCAGCGCCACGCGCGGTCGACCAAAATGTTTACAGGATTTAAAGGTACGTTCTTAATTATACAAAATTCATTCTGAGCTGTTTTACGGAATAATTGAACCTCGGTTTGGCTGGTTGAAAATCACGAAATCAAATTCTAACCCCCCTCCCTCTTAAGAGAGATTCACTTTTTTCTAAATCCATTTTATGATTTACAATCTTCAAACTGAACGACGCACAGTGGGGCCATTTCATGCCAAACGCGACAAAAAGTGGTTTTATACAAATATACCCACAATGAAATAATGATTCACTAATAGTTAATGGGACACATGGGCCATGATTTAGTGTGATTTTTATTATCAATTGTCGATTTTTGATACGACTACATGACTTTGAAACGTTCAATCTTAAAATCATCCAAAATTATAATCATCGTTTATTGTTGCTTTGATTCTTCAAAGTAAATGATGAGTAATTGAATTAAATGTATTTAGTACGTATTTAAATTACACCAAAGTACACTTTTATATCTCCAACATTTTTTGAGTTACAACTACATAATTGAACATGTTCAGTTTTCATTTTATTTTTTAATTATGAATGCAATGTGATTCAGTGTTCATTTTAGTTGCTTTTTGTAGAGCGAAGCCTTACCTTTTTTTTTAAAAAAAAAAATTAGCTGCTACTAGCTGCTACTGCGAAAAACATAAAGATGATCAACTGTTTCGGCAGGTGCGAGCGTCAGCGATTGCGAGTATTGTTACGATTCCCAAAAATACATCAAAACTAGGAAACAATGCATACATTTCATTGTTTTTGCTTCGAATGCTATAAAAGCATAAAATGATCACGAATTTGGAGCATTTGTCGTTTGACGTTCCTAACTTGTATGTTGTGAGTGAAATATTTAGTGTTAAAATAATGGAATTTCCAATTGAAGTAGGTAGGTACACAGATATATATATTTGAATTTCGCCATTTTTCTTCATCTTCTATATAGTTTGTTAATACAGTTTTCGTAGCAAAAGTTTCATTTTAATAGAGTGACATTTTTTTTTAAATCCTAAGGTTCATCGGGAGTACGTGTGTTTTTATTGATGCAGTTTTATAACATCATGACACAGCATCAAAATCACGCATTGAAAATAAACTAGAATTTTTAGAGTCGTCCTTAATGAGCCAGAATAATTATTCTATGGAGTACCAGAAAATTTTGAAAACAAAAATTGCAACTTTGAAGTCCCGTTTCAGGAGAAGATGCCAATTAGCGAATAGACGACACGACCTTTACGAAGAGAAAACGAAAGAATTTATGGAATCTATGAATGATTCGTCATCTGATTCTTCATTCGTAATTTAATTTACGTACTAAGTACATTTAATTCAATTACTCATCATTTACTTTGAAGAATCAAAGCAACAATAAACGATGATTATAGTTTTGGATGATTTTAAGATTGAACGTTTCAAAATCATGTAGTCGTATCAAAAATCGACAATTGATCAAAAAAATCACACTAAATCATGGCCCATGTGTCCCATTAACTATTAGTGAATCATTATTTCATTGTGGGTATATTTGTATAAAACCACTTTTTGCCGCGTTTGGCATGCAATGGCCCCACTGTCCGACGATTACTTATATTCGTTGTTTATAAATATTTTTTGTAATTAAGTTTCACCTAAAAAGAATTAGATTACTCGTGTATTTTCAACAATTAATGACTGCAAAAAGCCTCAGGCCTGTCGACTTTCGTCTTGCAGAATCACTTTCTAACAGGATCGGTAGCTATTGACATTTAAATATTTCATGCTGTTGAACTTGGGGTAAAGTAGCTTTAATGTTCTTATATTAGGTTGGGGAAAAAGAAATCCATTATTTTTGCGTGAACTTCAAGACTTTATTTAGCATGTCTCGGATTTTCCGATTTGGGTCAAATATGCGCCGTTTTGTTCTATAATTTATTGCCATTTTAAAAGTAGCTTTATAATGCCTCTCTCATAGAAATCTTGGTCCTTATTGGCGAAAAACTCTAGTTACCGATTTTCACAATATTCTCTTGATGCCAATTTCTTATCACTCAGGTAGTTTTGCAATGCGAGAAAAAGATGGTAATCACTTGGTGCCAGGTCCGGACTATATGGTGGATGCATTAAAACTTCTCAACCAAGCTCCCGGAGTTTCTGGCGAGTCACTACAGACGCGTGTGGCCTAGCGTTGTCCTGCTGGAACACAACACCTCTTCTGTTGGCCAATTCTGGACGTTTCTGGTCAATCGCTAGCTTCAAACGGTCCAGTTGTTGACAGTAGAGATTCGAATTTAGTGTTGGGCCATATGGAAGGAACTCATAATAAATGATTCCTTTCCAGTCCCACCAAATGCATAGCAGAACCTTCCTGGCCGTTAGTCCTGGTTTGGCCACCGTTTGAGCTGCTTCACCGCGCTTTGACCACGATCGTTTTCGCACAATATTGTCGTATGTGACCCATTTCTCATCCCCAGTCACCATCCGTTTAAGAAATGGGTCGATTTCATTCCGTTTGACTAAGGCTTCGCAGATGGAAATTCAATCCATCATGTTTTTTGGTGTTAATTGGTGTAGCACCCAGACATTGAGCTTCTTTTTGAATCCAGCTTTGTGCAAATGGTTTAAAACTGTTTTATGGTCGATCTTTAGCTCCTGTGCGATGCTACGACTACTAACATGCCGGTCAACTTCGATTATTTCTGTAATTTTATCGACATTTTCGACGACGGACCTGCCTGTGCGAGGTGCATCTTTGGCATCAGAAATACCTGAACGGAATCGACGAAACCAAAATTGCACGTAATTAGCCGTTACAGTATAGGGACCATAAACACTATTTACAATTTCAGCCGCCTGGCTTGCATTTTCGCCTTTATCAACGAAAAACTATAAAATGTACCGAATTTTCTTTTTCTTGACTTCCATTTTTAACGCCCTGTAACTCACAACTGAATAGACCAAATAAAAAACAACAAAAGAAATTTTTTAGTGTGAAATGTCACCTTGCAAAGAGCATAAATCTAAAATTGTTTGATCGATACTTTACGAGATATCGATCACTACAGACATCTACCGACAAAATAATGGATTTCTTTTTCCCCAACCTAATATAATGATCCTACTTCTTGGTCCCGCGTAATCTCATTACAACTGCCTTTAACGTATTTTAAGCGAAACCGATCGGTAATCACGACGATTCGATCACCCTTCTAAACGTTTATTTTAATAAATTAAAACTTGTTCCAGCCAACGTTGATGCACCAGAATCGTGAATTTTTCAAATAAATTCGATCGAAAATTAGTCTTGCGCACGCTTTTCTCGTTTCAGCGACGAAATGGAAGACAAAGAAATCGATATTAATACCGTTTTACGTAAGTTGGAGCATGATCGTGCAAATTAGATGATAATGATCCCAGAATGCATGTTTGTCAGAACCTTCGACGCTTCTTTCGACGAATCCTATAAAATCCCCGTTTATTATACCCCCGAAACGTTGTTTCAGCAAACTGGAGTAAAAGTATCTCCGGTTATCGTTGTTTAAATAAATTTCTAGGAACAAATAACCGGGTTCCAACCCGTTGAATGATCGAACCGGTATCCATGGGAGGTTCGTAATAGAAAAATGTACGCGGTATTTTGCGGTTAAGAACGCGAGGATGGAATTCATCGAGAGGTATATCGAAAAATGAAGTGTTTACACGCGAATGGAATTCATTCAATCTCAATGTTGGTTCGTTATAAATCCTGTACGTACAAACATTCGTGTGCAAATAACGTGAATCAGATATACATATCGTGTTTACGAAACGCGACTACGAGACAGTTGTAATTTACTTAATTAAAACTACGCGTTGTGCGCGGAGATGGGTCTTTGCACGGAATATAACGATTTTGGCTGTAAAATATTGCTGTCGAACAAACATGCGAACAGCACTCGAAATTGTCAACTTTTTTCCGGTCCACGATTTTACCTTGCAAATAACTCCAAAAGTTAACGCTGATAAATTATTACGAGCTTCGGTGTGTTCATTATTAAATTGTTCCATAATTCGTAGACGCGTGAATATTTATTTATTTATTTTTATTACGGATATACGCGAAGAAAAAGGGTGAAACCCAGAGCTAACCTCGAACATCGAGAATTATAGTTTACGCAACGATCGAAGCATATCGAATGGTACAACTTGCACATTTTTATCTCTCCGCCCTGCGGATACTAAAAATGCAAAATCGAAAGAGAAACGAACCGGATACGTAGTAAAAAAAAAGGGTGCAAAGAGGCGAGGTGGAGGTGTTACGACGAAACCTAACCTCGAATATCTCTGTGTCCGGGCAGATACGAGAAATGAAATATGAGACGAAGGTACCCAATAAAAGAAAAAAAATGTAAACCCAAAATTGAAAGTGTTATTCTGAAACGTAACCTAAAATGTGTTCACGTAATATCGAGCATAGATATAGACATAGCGACTCACTTATAGCGTTTAGGATCGCGCGTAAATATTTCCCCGAAAATAACGTAAATTCTTTCTCAAACACACACGTATACACACTGTCTATCTCTTGTGCACCGAGCAACTCCCCCTCTACACGAACAGTCCACTAGAAACTTTCCCCAAAACGGATACTACCGTCACGTGTCTCGTAGGTCTCGCCTGAATCCGAACTTCGCCTGTCCTTCGTGTTTAATTATGCAAAGTCATGTTTCATTTGCACTTACAGATCCCAATCAAGCTGCGAATAACAATCACGTGAACAGCGTGTCGGAGGGTCTTCCCGAGCCCGGTACGAAGACGTTTTACGAAAACCTACCTTTCCACGGGATCCAAGCACCGCCTAACAAGGTCAGTAAAGAATCGATATCCGCTCGACAGGCTCCTGCTGGTTGTTATTTAAGCATGATCGTCTACTTGCAAGTTTCCACTTACGTGCTTGTTAGTAACAGCGAGATGCAAATGATGGAAGATGCACGCCGATTCGAAAATGGCGGCCCCTCTCGACGCCGCTGGGGATTTCTTATTTTCCAAGATGGCCGCGGTACACGCGATCCCCGGTCGCGAATCGAACTTAAAAAGATTCCTCGACACCGTCCGTATGCTTCTGCTTTCCCATTCGCGCGGACTGACTCGATCGAAGTCAGTTCCCCACGAGTCCTCCATTGTCATTTTTTCTCTTAGAATTTTACTAAATTTCTACCAAACTTTGACTCGACATCGAGACGTTATTTTTCATCAAATTATTTTGCCGTGAAAAAGCCCCCAAATTGCAGCACAAAATTTGTTTCTCGTCTTTAGCGATCGAATGGTTTGATTCTGATCAATTTGTGGAAGGGTTAAAGGTAATATTTTAGACATGGAATTTTACTAAATTCTCTTTTTTCTATCAAACTTTGACTCGACAGAAAGCCCCTATTTTTGGTCTTTAGTTGTCGAGCGATACGGGAGAGAAATAAAAAAGTGTTTACGGATTTTATTTCTGTTCGAGAACGTCTAATATGATCGAAGGGTCCATTGTTATCGTTTTATTGAAGGGTTGGGCGTTTGAGTCCGCCGCGTTCCTCGGGGGGGAGCTGCATTAATTAACGCGGCGGTGGAGTCGAACGGAGAAAAAGAAAGAGCGAAATTGAGAGTGGCGATGACAAAGCTGCGAAAGAAACCAACCCCGGTTCCCGTGAAAGGCCGCCCAAGGGCCGAATAATAGGACAATAGTTTTCGCTTACGCGAGGCGGCGCGTGGTTGCCGAGAAGAGGCTAACTCCGAGGCTACGAATGAAGGTAATTTGATAAAAGGGGGTCGAAAATATCAGGAGCGCGGGAATACTCGAGGCTCTTAACCGCGAAAAGCGGCAAGGAAAGTCACCGTGAAATAATCGCATTACAAGGACCTCGAGTGCTGGCAGTCTGAGCCTGGGCCCTTCCCGAGGAGGAACGTTGGAGGACGCCAGGAAACACGCCGGAGGAGTACAGAACGAACTGGGGGAGTATTGCACTTTGTGGCACGTGGCCCTTTAAGCGCACAGAACCGAGTCTCGAATGCTTTCTCTGCTAATATTCGATATCTGCTCGGTTTCGTTGCGTTTCATTCTATGCGTCGATTAACGAACGCACGAAAAATTACTGGAACGATCGCGGACAACAAACGATCCTCAAACCGAAACGTTGAACGAAGTAAATTTGAATAGCATTTACGAATTTTAACTCGTGCGGTTTGCAAATGTTTAAAATCGTCTTTGTTTTTGTCAACTGTCTGACAGTCGACGAGTTCGCAGTGAAAACGTATACGTTGTTGAGTCTGAGTGTTGCGAAAACGAACTATACAATCTTGGGAACTATACATCGCTCTTGGGAAAGTTATCGCTATAGGAAGGTAAAAGAAGCGTTCTTTAGTTTATAATTATTGCATCGATGTTGTTTTTCGATGTAGAGTGAAAGTATAACAGAAACGAACTATACATCGCATTTAGAAAAAGATTGGGGTGATATCGAAGAAAGAAAATAAAGGAAGCGTTCGAGTCTACAGTTTATAACTATTGCGTCGATGTTGTTTTTCGATGTAGAGTGAACGTGTTACAAAAAACGAACTATACATCTTGCTGGGGAGAGGGTTGTCGAACGCAATAACTCGAATTAGAGCGATTGGGATGATATCGATGAAAGAAGATGAAGGAAACGTTCGAGTCTACAGTTTATAATTATTGCACCGACCTGGAGTCAAAGTATTACAGAAACGAACTATACAATCTTGCGAACTATACATCGCTCATGGGAAAGTTATCGCTATAGGAAGGTAAAGGAAGCGTTCTTTAGTTTATAATTATTGCATCGATGTTCTTTTTCAATGTAGAGTGAAAGTATAACAGAAACGAACTATACATCGCATTTAGAAAAAGATTGGGGTGATATCGAAGAAAGAAAATAAAGGAAGCGTTCGAGTCTACAGTTTATAACTATTGCGTCGATGTTGTTTTTCGATGTAGAGTGAACGTGTTACAAAAAACGAACTATACATCTTGCTGGGGAGAAGGTTGTCGAACGCAATAACTCGAATTAAAGCGATTGGGATGATATCGATGAAAGAAGATGAAGGAAACGTTCGAGTCTACAGTTTATAATTATTGCACCGACCTAGAGTCGAAGTATTACAGAAACGAACTATACAATCTTGCGAACTATACATCGCTCTTGGGAAAGTTATCGCTATAGGAAGGTAAAAGAAGCGTTCTTTAGTTTATAATTATTGCATCGATGTTGTTTTTCGATGTAGAGTGAAAGTATAACAGAAACGAACTATACATCGCATTTAGAAAAAGATTGGGGTGATATCGAAGAAAGAAAATAAAGGAAGCGTTCGAGTCTACAGTTTATAATTATTGCATCGATGTTGTTTTTCGATGTAGAGTGAACGTGTTACAAAAAACGAACTATACATCTTGCTGGGGAGAGGGTTGTCGAACGCAATAACTCGAATTAGAGCGATTGGGATGATATCGATGAAAGAAGATGAAGGAAACGTTCGAGTCTACAGTTTATAATTATTGCACCGACCTGGAGTCAAAGTATTACAGAAACGAACTATACAATCTTGCGAACTATACATCGCTCATGGGAAAGTTATCGCTATAGGAAGGTAAAGGAAGCGTTCTTTAGTTTATAATTATTGCATCGATGTTCTTTTTCAATGTAGAGTGAAAGTATAACAGAAACGAACTATACATCGCATTTAGAAAAAGATTGGGGTGATATCGAAGAAAGAAAATAAAGGAAGCGTTCGAGTCTACAGTTTATAACTATTGCGTCGATGTTGTTTTTCGATGTAGAGTGAACGTGTTACAAAAAACGAACTATACATCTTGCTGGGGAGAAGGTTGTCGAACGCAATAACTCGAATTAAAGCGATTGGGATGATATCGATGAAAGAAGATGAAGGAAACGTTCGAGTCTACAGTTTATAATTATTGCACCGACCTAGAGTCGAAGTATTACAGAAACGAACTATACAATCTTACGAACTATACATCGCTCATGGGAAAGTTATCGCTATAGGAAGGTAAAAGAAGCGTTCTTTAGTTTATAATTATTGCATCGATGTTGTTTTTCGATGTAGAGTGAAAGTATAACAGAAACGAACTATACATCGCATTTAGAAAAAGATTGGGGTGATATCGAAGAAAGAAAATAAAGGAAGCGTTCGAGTCTACAGTTTATAACTATTGTGTCGATGTTGTTTTTCGATGTAGAGTGAACGTGTTACAAAAAACGAACTATACATCTTGCTAGGGAGAGGGTTGTCGAACGCAATAACTCGAATTAGAGCGATTGGGATGATATCGATGAAAGAAGATGAAGGAAACGTTCGAGTCTACAGTTTATAATTATTGCACCGACCTAGAGTCAAAGTATTACAGAAACGAATTACAATAACTTTAGAAAAAATTGTCGAACGCGATAACTCAGAGAGCTAACGAAGAGAGCTAGAAAAGATTGTTTTTAGTCAATAATTTATAATTATCGGATGTGTCGTTGTTTTTCGGTGAACGAGGAATAATGGAGACGCGATGGAGTGACCCGATGACGGTGATGCTTCGCGTTTCACGGTGTGACGGATCGTCGCTCGAATAAATAAACATTCGGACACGCGATGTAACCGCTGATCAATAATTTGCATATTCATCTCTCGCGGCGAGTCGAGTGGTTCCCGGGATGAATTATGGATCCCCGGGAACGGGAACGCGTCTGGTAAAAGCTTCTGTGAGCCCCCGAAGATGGTCGACAAAGGGACCCGCTAATATCTACTCTCTTGCCTCTTCGCTTTCAGCTTCTGTCCATACTCAATTACTTCGGGATACGAACCGTTCTGCTTCCGATACGGTCATTACGGGGCCACTCGGTTAAATAAGAGAGGATTAACCTCGGTTCTCGCGCGCGGCAGACATCATAAACTATACCGGGGGGCCGTCGTTGAACGCGCTCGCCACGGTCTCGTAAAAAGCTAACGACTCCTTCTACGACTTTCTTCTGCCCGCTTCTCCCGAGACAATGCATTACGGGTGTTGTTGGACTACGGTGCTGGTTTTATTATTTATCGCGTGAAACCGATCGATGTTTTCCTCCGACTCTCGAACGAGACAATGGATGAGGCAGGAAAGTACCCTGCTGCTCGAACTTAACGCTCCAAATAGTATCGGTCTACGTGTGGTCCGTCAACAGTGAGAAAAATTAATATTTTTCTAGTGAATTCGATGCGAATCGAAAAGTACGTGAGAAATATAATCGTGGTACTTAATAACGGATGCAATAGTTTTGCTTGGAATTATCATAATGGAAGCTGGTCGTTGGTCGTAGCGCGTAGGGAGAATTGTTTATTCCACGACGAAATTGTTGCCCGAGCTATAAAATACTACGCAAAGCTAACGAGCATCTATTAAGTTATGCTTTCGAAGTAGTTGATACTGGCTATATGTTCCGTAGAGTCCCACGAACTCGTGACCTCAATATCTGAACCTGGTATAATCAGTTAACCGGGGAAACTTTCTTAACTGCATGTATGTAGTTCAAAGACATTTCATCGCTTTACTAATAAAAGTATCAACCATCACTGATAACTCACGTTGGTTTTCGGGGCTCGTTTGTTATTACAAACATCACATTGTATCTCTATAACAAATATGCCTGTTGGAGGAAGAAACCATTATACAGGGTGCTCAGCCACCTCTGGGAAAAATTTAATGGGAGATTCTAGAGGCCAAAATAAGACGAAAATCAAAACCATCAATTTGTTGATTGAGGCTTCGTTAAAAAGTTATTAAAAAATTAAATTAAAAAATTTCAAATCGTTCTAAAAAAAAT